TAGCTGAATCTGTTTCGATTTTGTTAGTATTAGGGTTTACGTTGAATCGGATAACTAAACGTACTTTGTGGGGTTTCCACTCAATTGATTGGTGTAATTGTAATCTCTTTGTTTGATATAACCTTCTTTACTCGGAATTTGCAATTTTGGATCAAATTTGATGCTTCTTTGATTATCTTAATGTTCATGAACAAGGGTTTTTCTTGATTCCTGTTCATTGACCTAGTTTTTTGTATTTCTTTGTTTGATTCCTTTTTTTGGCTGAAGTTTTTGTTCTAAATAAGGAGTGATCTTTGAACTTTGGAATTGCTTATTTATCTTGACGACCATGAATAGTTAACCGTTTAGGATCTATAACTCAGGTGGTTCTTGCTTAAGTGATCAGTATAAAGGTTGAATTGTTGTGTTCCTTATGATAGAACTCTGTGTATCATCTTCCCCGATTTTCGATTGAATTGCTGTTATAAACTTAGATTCTTGAATCTGATAATTTATAATTCATGGTTTTCATGAGCAGAAGCTGTTGTAGATGCGAACAAAGCCATTGAGTTGGAACCGACGCTGGCAAAAGCCTATCTCAGAAAAGGGTATAATTTTCTTAATGACAGTTTGATTATTTATTTGAATTTGACTGGAAGTATGGAATCATAATGTATCTTCGGATAGTATACTGTATATGTTCTTCGTTATGGTTTATTATTTCCAAGTTATTGCTCCCCCTCTTCATATTTGGTGTTTATATTCGCAGCACTGCATGTATGAAGCTAGAAGAATATCGTACTGCTAAAACAGCCCTAGAAAAAGGCGCTACCGTAGCACCAAATAAACCAAAATTTAAGAAGATGATAGATGAATGTGATCTTCGCATTGCAGGTATTATAAAAACTCCGTAGTGTGAGAAAAAAATTTTAACCGATTCTTAATATATTTATGCACTGAGGCTTTAGATGTATGATGAACTTTTCTTTATCTCCGTTCAGAAGAAGAGAAAGATTTGGTTCCACCGACCTTGCCTTCAAGCTCTACAACACCACTGGCTACGGCACCTGATGTTCCTCCTGTTCCAAGTCCTGCAGCACCTGCCAAGCCAATGTTCAGGTATTCTAGTTATTAAAAATGTACTTTCTTTCTTAATATACCGAATCACTGTATATCCAAAATTCGGTGGTTGAACAGACATGAGTTCTACCAGAAGCCGGAAGAAATGGTGGTGACAATTTTCGCCAAAGGAATACCAAAGCAGAACGTAACTGTCGAGTTTGGTGAGCAGATTGTAAGTATCCCGCAATCAGATGAATACAAAACTTATAACGAAATCTGTGAACCTATTACCAATATCGCTTTTTAATCTGTTATTGTATATTGGTTTGAGGTATCTTTCTTGGGCTTTTTGTGCAGCTGAGTGTTGTAATTCAGGTTGCTGGAGAGGAAGATTATCATCTCCAGCCAAGATTGTTCGGGAAGGTATATTTGCTTGACAAATTAATTTGTGGTCCTTTCTAACACACTTACTCAATCTTACTTCATGGGTATTATTCAGATTATACCAGAGAAGTGCAGATATGAAGTATTGGCAACTAAAGTTGAGATCCGTCTCGCAAAAGCAGAGATAATCACTTGGGCCTCCCTTGAATATGGCAAAGGACAAGCTATTCTGCCTAAACCCAATGTCTCTTCAGGTTTTTTTAGCTGAAACCCTTTCTGCTTCAGTTCATCTCAGAAGATACCATCGTAGTGTTTTTACTTGATTTTTTCCAAACCTAAATTCAAACCAAGGCGATCTCTTCTCATGTAATATTATGTTCATATGCAGCGGTTTCCCAGAGACCAGTGTACCCATCTTCTAAGCCGGGGAAAGACTGGGACAAGCTGGAAGCTGAAGTGAAGAAACAGGTCCTTCTTTCGATTCCAGAGGCTTTACTCTGTTTTACTCTATTATATTTCTGCTCATCACTTTTGAATTTTGCAGGAGAAGGATGAGAAGCTAGATGGAGATGCAGCTATGAACAAGTTTTTCAGCGATATATACCAGAGTGCGGATGAGGACATGAGGCGAGCCATGAACAAATCATTTGTGAGCAAACTCAATCTCTCTTTTGGTATTATTTGTTACGAACAATCTCTCCTTTGTCCTTTTGACTGATGATATATATTACCTTCTCGGTTGGTTTTTGGATTTGACAGGCAGAGTCGAACGGGACGGTGCTGTCTACGAACTGGAAAGAGGTTGGGACTAAGAAAGTGGAGAGCACTCCACCAGATGGTATGGAGCTCAAGAAATGGGAGTATTGATCGATGTTTAAAATCCTCTTTTCTGTTTTTTATTTATTTTCCTGTCAAAAGTTCTGACATATCTTTGAACTAAAAGGTTTCTTTTGTTTTTGCTTGAATTTGGCTCTCCATTCTTGCGTTCTTGTCTAAAAAAAATGTTCTGATACTTTTTAAAATTTTGTATTAAAAAATTCTCGCAAATTTGTGTGTTTCTCTTACTTTTTCTTTTCTTGAGAGAGCCTTTTCAAAACGTTCTATGACTTGATGATTCGGAACGAACATGTCAAGCTATCATCAGCGTCGGCTTGATAATTTATAGTACAACATAATTTTAAAAAATACAACAAAATACCAATACCAAAACGTCATTTGCAATTATTGAGTATAATAAAATCCTGAATTTCGGGGCTGCTTACTGGCAGTCGTCCTTCCAACGACGGTTCCATTGACTAGTTTATGCTGTTTTTTCTACTGTATCCTATGAATCCATCGATCATAAAACAATTTTCTCGATTTCAGATGTAAATCTGTAGACTTAGGTTTGGTTTTTTCTCAGTCAGAATCTCTCTCAGTTGCATTGTAACTATGCTTGTTAGTTTGCCGTTGTTCGTCTGGCGTCCCTTCATGTCGGGCGTTCCTTCATTTTGAAGTCGTTTTCTTATTTTTCGTGCCCTTTAAATAGAAGGACTCGAAATCATGGGACCTTCAGTTGGGAAGCTTCAGTTTTATGGGACCTTGTGACTCCTTGTTTTAGGGTTTAGATTTTCTTCTTCTTGAATAAGAATCTTTAATTTTCATATGATGGAAATGAAACATTTAGTTGGTGTTTATTTCTCGCATAGAAGATCTCGGTAAACAAACTTGAATTGCAAAACGCAAACCAAAATCTATAATTGAATAAAAACTAAACATCTAAAGGAAAACTACATGGTTAGAACATATTTCATGGAAATTAACTCTTTTGGAACAAAAGGTATTAGAAACATGTATGCTATTGTTATTAATGTTTTTTTATTGATATTTGAAACAAAATCATTTTCGTATTGCCAATGTGTCATCGAAAAAGTCTATCCTCACTAAATTATCGATGCGGAAAAAACTGTTGGTTTCTCTTTGTATTCAGTATTAGATTTCTTTAAAAGTGTAATCCATTCTAAATCAATATCAATAAGACAAAAAAATATATATTTAAAAAATATATATAGTTCATTAGTTCTTTGGTAATTATTTATTGGAAAAATCCCATAAAAACCCTTCAAAGTGGTTAGCACTTACACTTTAAACCTCCAAGGTTTTCTACTATCAGTTTAAACCTCCAAGATCGCAATATTAACACTTTAAACCTCCAAGATGGTATTTATGTACGCGCCGTCAAATTTTTTAACGAAACTGTTTATTATTCGTTTAAAAATGATGACGTGGCTTTTTTATTTATTTTTAACTAAAAATAATAATTTATATATTATTTTTAATTCATTAATAAATCTAAAT